CACGGCGTCCCCTCCAAGTTGTTTTCTCTTGTCTCTCTTGTTGAAGGAAAATGTGACTTCTATAGTTTTTCATAACAAATAAAAATGTAACTTGTTTCATAAAAATGCCGAGAGCTGGTTTGTCGTGTTTTTGATGGTTCTGTCACGCTGTCCAGAGTGTCCGTGGAAAGGTGTGGTGCTATCAGTGGGCAGCCAGAGGGTCAGTTAAAAGCCACGAAACTGCCAGGCGCAGTGACACATGCCTGTAATCCCAGCGACTCAGGAGGCTGAGGCAGGAGGATCTTAAGTTTGAGGCCAGCCTAAGCAACTTTAGGGAGACCCTGTCTCAAAATAAAAAATAATAAGGGCTGGTGATGTGACTCAGTATAAAGTGTCCCAGGTTCAGTCCGCTCAAATAGTGCCTGGAGGAGCCAAGGAATTGTTCCTGAGATGTCCTCTCTGTGTGCTTGACATGTATGTGCTTTTGCATGCGTGTACACAGGTAAATGCGTATTTTGTTTTGCCATTAAGTTGTGGGCCCAGGCAGGCATTTGCCATCCTGAAGTTCTTCATTTTATTTTTTGAGATGGATACTGTTAGAATACCCAGGCTGGTCCTGAACGCTCTTCCGTAGCCAGGGCTGTGGGCATGGGCCATGGCATTTAGTCCCCACGTTCCAAGAGCACAGATTCCTGTTTTAGTTTTGAAATGATTTTTTAAAAAATGAAATCCTCTCTGCAGAGCTCGCCAGGCCAGGCCAAGCCAAGGCATGAAATGGATTTTTTTTGGGATTCCGTGGAGTTACCCTGCTGTTTCCAGGCGTCTGCCGGAGGCTCCATGGCTGAGCTGTGGCTGATTCCTTTGTGCCTCTTTTAGGTGGTACAAGCCCTTCCAGGTGCTGGAAGGGCTAGATTCCTCAGAACAGGCTCAGGATACGGCCTGACAGCAGATGAGCAGGAGCGTGGGCAGATGGCTGCTGAAGCATTCATGGTCCTGAGACAATGCACATGAAAGACAGCTGAAGTTTGGGGTGTTGACAGAAGCTTCCAGAAGTGCTAAAAGCTGAGATTCACGGGGGAGAAGGGAGTGACCCGTGACAGGCACTGCCATGGCCCTTCATTTGTACAGCACTTTGCAGTTGGCAGAGACGTTGATTTTGCAAGTTCGCCCCTGAGCCCTGAAACCCATCTGTGACGGAGGCAGTTACATATTTCACATTCCACTCAGGGGTGAGAAAACCAGGGCCCCGAGAGGTGACGCGGAGCATCAGAACTTCTGTTTTATGACAAGAGACCAGTGAAGGAAAGGGAAGGGGTTTTATGGGGCAATCGAAACCGAGCCAAGAACGAAGTCCAGGCTTCCTGCTTCTGTGGCTGGTGTCCAGATCCCGACGGGGGGCGTGGGGCTCCTTCTCCAGGCCAGGAGGTGGTCTTGGGCCAGCAGGGGGGTGGGGGGGGGACAGGGAGGAGCTCTCCAGTGGTGGCTTGGCCTCTCAAAGGCCTGACTCAGCAGGCAGCAGCCTGTCCGCCTTGATCAATCGTTCCTCCATATTCCCTGGTACCCCACATCCTTAGCTGGGGCTGGGGATTACCCACTCCAAGCCCCACACTGGGCACAAAGCACTTTGTACCCATTTCCAGACCTCACAAGGGCGCGAAAGAGGAGGGGATGTTACTTCTCTTTGCAGGTGAGGAGACTGAGGCTGGCATAGGAGATGCTGGTCTGAGGTCACCTAATTAGTGCAAAGCCCCTTCCTCTTTTCCATACCCATCCAGTATTGCCAGAGGCTGAGAGAGTCCCCTGAGACCTAGAACCAAGAAGCACCATTTTTTTTAATCTATGAATAATTATTTGCTCTTTCCAGAGCGTGTGCATTCTTTCTCTCTCTTAAAAAAAAAACAACAACAGCTTTATTGAGGGTTAATTGATCTACAAAAATTGCACCTATGTGATTATGGCATTTGGTGAGCCTGGACGCGTGCACACACCACGAAATACCTCCTTCTCGTTTTGCAGTCACCTCCTGTGTGATATTCAATGCGACAACTCTCTTTGCTGGGTTCAGCCTGAGTAACTGCAGGTTTCTGATTAAAAAGCATAATACGCCGGCCAAATGCACCGTGGCAGTAGTAATGAATGGACCGAGAATATTAAAACCCTGGAATTTTTTGTTGCATCTTTTTTTTTCCATCCCCCCAAGGGCGCGAGCCAACCCTGGAAGTACTGCAGTATTAACTCTGTCAGGCAGCAGGATTCTGGAAATCTAACCGGGGCTTTTATTGGCAAATACACAGGAGTGAGCCCCAGAGAATCTGTCTGTCCTGCTGTGACTCCCTGGGGACCTTTCATGCCAGCCCCAGTAGGCCGGCCCGAGCAGCAGAGAAAGGCAGAGAGACGTGTCTGTGAAACGGGGCTGTTAGACCGTCAGCGCGCGTGCCCAGTGTCCCCTCCGCCTGGGAGCTGTGTGTCACCATGAGGCTCGTCCACACCCATGGGCTCTTGCTGTGTGTCGGGATCTGTGCTGAATACTTTCAGATATCACTTATTTAATTCCCATGTGATTCTTCGTGGTGGGTGTAAATATTGTCCCCCTGTTCAGGGGAGGAAACCAAGGTGCTGAGGGACAGAGGTGCACAGTAGCCGATGGTGGAGTCCTGACTTCATCCCAGGCAGGCTGACCGCGGGGCTGGAGTTCGAAACCCAAGACTAAAAGTTCAAGTGATTGTTTTTCTTACGGCTTTGGTTCTTCACCAAGGGCAAGGATGTTGCCCAGGGGACACTGTGGTTGTCACACAAGGGAGGGAAGAGCACCACTGGAGTGGAATGCGGAGGCCTGGGACACTGTTCGGCCTCCTGCAGTGCATGGGACAGCCCCCCCACACAGAGGGACCCACCTGAATGACAGCAGTGCCCAGGTGGAGAGAGCCTGCCTCAAGGTCAGGTGCGCAGAGCCGACAGGACCTGCATTCTGCATCCAGACTCCGAGCACAGTGCTCCTCCGTCACGATGAGGTGGTCCTTTATCACCCTTGGTTTGTGCCAGGGCAGGTCATTGGCTCTCCACCCAAGGATGTTCCCTGTAACTTTCTCGGGGGACTTCTGCTCTGTCCCCTGATTTAATTCTCTGCTGGTCACAGTGCTCTTGACTCTGTGTCTGTTTGCTGTTTCTCCCAGTGTATCCTGAACTGGACAGTGAACCCTCAAAGGGAGAGGTCAGCATGGTGATGCAGATGATATTGTGATGATGGTGATGGTGATAGTGACTGTGGTGATGGTCCTGATAATGGGGGAGATGATGATGGTGATGGTGATAGTGGGAATGGCTATGGTGATGGTGATGGTGATGATGGAGGTGGTGATGATGGTTATGGTGATGATGGTGATAGTTATGGTGGTGATGATGGTGTTGACAAGGTAATGGGGATGATGGTGGTGTTGATATGGTTGTGGGGATGATGGTGGTGTTGATGTGGTGATGGAGTTGATGGTGGTGATGATAGTGGTGTTGATATGGTGTTGGGGATGATGGTGGTGGTGATGGTGATGGGGTTGATGGTGGTGATGACTGTGGTGTTGATATGGTGGTGGGAATGGTGGTGTTGATG